GCCAATGGCGATTCAATTGCCAAGGTGTTCGTAGAGGGCTGCCACAACACATTTGCATCGTGACAACAGGTTTTTCCTAGGTAAGCACCATTAATATCTTTCAGAACATGTATAAAATGTTTGCTTTTGTCGTAATATATTTTGAGGTCTATTTCATTGGTGAAGCTGTCTATCTAGGCTTTGTATCCATCCATCACATATCCAGTTGTTTTGACAAAGTTTCTTTATCTTTCTTATAGGACAGTGCAGATTTGACCATTGAGGGAAAGAGTGGGAGAGAGTGGAGGAATGAGTTTGAGACAAGATCCAAGTCCCAGAAGTAAAACAGCTGTAGTTGTCGTGATGATCGGACTACCTGACATCACCTATTAAAACACACAAAAAAATCTATACGGTCACAATAGGAAATTGTCTTGTTTTACCACTTTACCCTCAGGCTGCACTGCTGATTAATTACAGTGCTATTTATGGCATTCATTCCTGTATGAGTGTACAGTTACTTGAGCCGTGTCAAAAATATGAAGAAAGAACAAACAAGCCATCCTCACGCCAAAGGCTCAGAGAGACAAACAAACAGCCACACAGTGCTCTTCTCCACTGCAGTGGCCTTGTGGCTGTGAGCTGTGTCAGCTGTCAGAGACAGGCCAGGCCACTGTTATCTGCCCCTTTATCATCCTCATTTCTGACAGCTGACACTTTCAGAAAACCCAACTCGCTTTCTCACCCCGAACAAAACCTTGCAGATGTGAGCAGCCCTGACCCTTGACCCCACAAGCCTTTCCTTAAATCTTCTCAGACAGTTTTCGGTAACAAAGAGCCCTGAGTCACAGCTCTGTCACTCAGTGAGTCAGGTGATGAGGCGTGCGTTTGAGGGAGATGCTGTAGGAAGCTCTTGTAATGAGAAAAGGGATTTAAGGTTGAAGTGTTTGCTGTTGACTAGAGATGCCAACGGTCTACCACTGAATAATGCATTAGACAGTGATACCATGTCAAATGGGCGTCTCTCCTTCCAGGAAAACCCATCCCACAGGATAAAGAAAAGACATGTGACCACACAATGAGGATAATGGATAACCCTTGTCCCTCCATCTACCCCTCCTCCATTCCACTTTCCTCATTCTTCACTTCTCTAACTACTTCTAATGTGGGCACAAAATATGAGAACCTGCCCAAGCTGTGATCATAAATATAAAAAAATTAATCTGACCTCTTGACAGGTACAGGTCTATAGGGGTATGAAAATCTCAGAACTGAAGTGACTCATATGGATACCACTGCACGTGCAGTCAATGAATAATGATTTTGACTAATGAAAATTCCATGATTTTTCCATTATGCAAGATGTGCATAAAATGATTTTTCAGAAATAAATTGTATACACATTTTTAATAAAAAATATAAAAAGATTTTTTTACTGAATACATATTTAAAATATATTTTTTTAAAGGGGTCATATGATGCGATTTAAATTTTTCCTTTCTCTTTGGAGTGTTACAAGCTCTTGGTGCATAAAGAAGATCTGTAAAGTTGCAAAGACTAAAGTCTCAAATCCAAAGAGATATTCTTTATAAAAGTTAAGAGTCAACCACGCCTACCTAAAACGGCTCGTTCTAACACGCTCCCACATGTCTATGTCACGATGTGGGAAGATTTGCATGACGCTGCCCAATTGTTCACGCAAAGAAAGCAACACACATTTCAGTTCAAACAACTTGTAAAAGTGCATGTAGCATCCTATGACCCCCTTAAACACACCTCAAAACAAAACAAAAAAAAGCTGTAAGATAATTTTGGGAGTGTTAAAGGCAATGCCCAAGTCCAGCCTGCCCAAATGCATCATCTAAGCTCCCATATTGTTGGAGTCAGGAAGTAAAGCTGTGCTGATTACAGAAGTTGTTGCAGCACAAGTGATGGCTGAGATGAAAATCACTGTAGTTTCCTGGAAACTCTTGATTCGCTCTGCCTCTCCGTCTGACCTCAGCAGAGCATTCTGTCTGATACAGAACCTCTCTTATCTTTAAAACTATCCCTCATTTAGTCTAGCTTCACTCCTCACTAATGCACTGCTCCCCTCACTTCTGCCATGCCCTCCATCAGTTCCCCTCCTCCCTTAAGACTGCTCTGAGATTACTGTGCCGCACAACTGCCTAACGCGTTGCTGTGACAACAGCTTTGTCTGTGGGTGGGAGGTCCCAAGGGCTGAGAACCAAACGAGAGGAAAAACACAAAGACACACACACACACACACACACAGGGGAGAAGCTATACGGGGGTCCTCACCCGAGTTTGCTGGCAGCCCAGGATAAGCCCTCCAGACTGTAGCAGGATCTCCTCTCTCGTCAGTGCTGACCCGCCTGCCTCCTCTTTTCCCCTGAATGCTAAAAATCTGTCTCTCTTGACTCCTCCTGCAATAAACAGAGAGAAATTGTCTCATCAGATCACAAGCGGATGACACCAAATGCAGGTGAACACACACACACACAGCATTTGTAGAGTAAACACTAATCTGTCCTGATTTGTCGCAGACAAGAACAAAGGACAAGGATAATATAAGTAATTTATATTTAGTATTAGCTTCTCTCTCTCTCCATATATATACATATATATATATGCATTTTAGACAATTTATGTAAACTGTATACATACTAAAGTGCTTTTTCTGCATTATAATTCACACAGCCATCTCTGAGGTCATCATTGTGCAGTGACAGAGCAAAAGTCCCATAATGCACAAGGCAGGAATGCAAAATAGCCTGGGAATGACATTTCTCAGCAGGCCAGACCGACATAAGGGCTCTATTGTGAGCGCCTACATGTGTACGCTTTCTCATGCAACCTCAATACCTGATTACTAGTTAAACCAAAGTCAAGGTTACATTAAGACAAAAGAACAAGTGCTGAAAAAAACAGGCCTGCAGAGATTTATTTCATTAAACATCTAAGCCACTGTTGTTTCTTGGGATGCAGCTGTGCTGATATCGACAGGACAAAATCCAATTAATCTTTCCTATAAAAAGGTAAGAGGATTGTAGCTTTACACCTACACACAGATGTAGCTTGAGCGTAGTCAACATCCATGTGAGCTCCACACACTCTCTACATTATTCAGGTAGTCATGCTGATGTCATTATTAAAGTGGTTTCCACCCTGTTGGCCGCAGATAAGAACAATCTTACGGCCGCCCACTACAACGCACCAGAGACAATATGCAATACTGAGCTAAATCAAACAATCCCCCAACTGACAATGCCAAAAGCCCCTTACATTTACATAACAGCCATCTATCTTCCATGAGAGCAGCTCAGATGGATGACTGAGTAATAGTGCTTTCCAGTCCAAAATTAACACTCAACAAGAGCCAATTTAATGTTAAAATTGGCTCTGGCAAGAAAATGTATGAAGTTACTGGAAAGTTGGCCATAACTTTTGTTTAGAAAATACAACATGGTTTTAAACAGCAACACATATTCTGACCTTTGCTTTTTAATCTGGCATCAGTGAAGTGAGTAAATCAGGTCTGATCATATCAGAGAAATAGCCTAGATTTTCTACGTCTGTCGTTTGTCCCCCAACAAGTCTTACTTCAGAAGAATTACCATTAGAATCTAGACAGGAAGTCTAAAGAAAATATTTTTAACAGGGAAAAAAGATAAAAAGCCCAATTTTATTTTCTTTATTTATAAAAAAAAAAAAATTATTCAACATCCCATTGCTCAGCTTTCCTCCAAAAATTTGCAAATTGCAATATCTATGTAGGCTAGGCTGTTAAAATATAAACATTACATTCTAAAACACACAAAAAATGCTTTTTAAATTAGAACTTAAAATCACTAAATTAAAAATAAAAATAAACGAAAAAAAAAAAAACAGGGAGAGGTCAGAGGAACACATTCACTCATTTAAACTGTGATTATATTACTATTAATCTACCACATTACAATAGTTCCTTTACAGTTACTGCTCTCATAAAAAAAATTTATTTTTTGCCATATGTACAAATTTCAAACAACATCTAACAACAAATATCAAGCAGGTCAGTATCTGTCAACACACCTATCTGTCAAAGAAACTGCCCTAATTTATATGTTTACGAGCTAGTTTAAAGCATGTCACACGTCTCACTAAGTGCCTTCACTAATTTTCAGATGTGCCTGCAACAAACTATATTGATATAATCAGAATTGTCTTGAATACATATCCTAACAGGTTCTTCATACTGTAAATGTGCACTGTCAGGAGAGGGGAGGCACTCATCCATCACTGTCCCAGCCCCGCTTCAAACCACACTTCTTTCAAGCATGTATTAATTTAATATTATTTTATTTGAAATATTTGTATTTTAAAAAATGTTTAAAACACACACCACAATAAACAAAGTTTGTTTATCTCTAAACCTGTTTAAGCTATGATAACAGACTCAGCAAATATCAGGATATGAAAATTCTATACTTTTGCCAAGCAATTACAGCCAATAAGGTCATTCTGTACCCTGGTGCCGTGCAACGAGGCTTTAGTTAATGTCATTTTACAGAGCGTGCACACGTATAAACACAAACACGTTCACACCAACATGAACCGTCTTCAGGATATTTTCCCTTCCCCCCACTGGATGACACAACATGCAGTGGAGAGCCCCAAGACTAAAAAACATATAAATAGAGCCTCGAACCATCTGCTGCTCAAGAGCTTAAGTAGCCTACTTCAAACCCTCCTCTTCCATTCAGCGGCAGGCTGGCCACTCAACTACAGCTCGGCCCAGCACACTAAGCCTCTGGCCTCTTACACAAGGAATAGGGACATCTGGGTGCTTACAAATAGAATCATCCCTTTACACTGGTGTAGGATCAGCTCTATCAACTCAAATCCGAATCTTAGCCTTTATTAGATAAATAATTAGGCTGACCTATGATAAATGCCAATGGGAAGGCTAATATTTCCCAGTGTGGAAGACTAGGCAGGGATGAGGCGAGGTAGATTAGGAATTGCACGTTCGTGGTACATGCAGGTGTTTCAAGCTAGAGCAGGTGCAGCACGGCTGGCCCAGAGGCAGTGGGTGTGTCCTCACCGTGCCAGCCAATAGGACGTGAGCAATAGTGGTGACCGTCTCAACAACCCTGTTGTTTTTCATTCCACCTGGGAAACGGTCCTAACAGATACTGCGGCTGTGAACACACACAGTGGACTCTCACCGGTCACATTCCTGGCAAGCTTTGTAATAGAGTAGTTTCACTAATGCAAACGAAATGAGAAAGTAAACAAGGGTTGTCAAAGTGATCAAGTGTGAAAATGATCAAGTCCAAACATATTCATATTCCACTTTACACATGAATAGTTATTTTCACTAGTTCTGTTGGCTATAATTTAGAATTGTCAAGCACTATTCATAAAAGATTGGCCCATTAACAGAGTGCATTGCACTGTTTTTCGCAATGCAAAAACACACAAACAAATTACAGAATGTAGTTCTAAAAATAAAAAATGCATGCATTGTACATAAATCAGTCAACCAATAATTTCAATAATCTTAACCGACATTCATAACAATACCACAGCTTTTATGGCCTGTTACCTTAAACAAACAACAAAGAACTCCACTTAACACACTGAATAACATGCATTATTCACAGGAAGGATGTTTTCTTCCTGGGCCTGGCAGCCTCAGTCCTGCACAGGATGAACCTGTTACGCTGACAGACATGAAACAGCTCGCCCTGAGGAGTGGCTAGTATGGAAAACAGTACCTGAATGCTGTGACAGGGTGGGAACAAAGCTCTTTTCCTATCATCAGCCTTCAATAGGTTTTGTAACTATACGACAATATATCAAAGCTCTGGGGTCTACCACACCTTTACAGTGAAAAAGACACTATGCATTGACACCTCACAGATATGAATCTCTCTCATCAGAGAAGAACTGGAAAATACACAAAAAGAAAAAGCAATGTCTGGAAAGACATCATGCAGGATAGAGGGAAGCCGGACAGGCCGACACTTCCATGGCTGTCACTGTAGAGGAGAAACAGACCAGGATCGTTATCTTCCCCAAAGCTCCAGCTCAACATTCCAACACCCAGTGTTTGCATACCAAAAAAATTCCAGATTCCAGGCTCCTAAGAATCGGACACGTACCACTTAGTGCCAGGAGGGAGAGCAATGCTGAAGAGAAAGTGGAAAAGAAAGGGAAAGAGACAAACAGAGGGAAAATATGTGGCAAGAGCATGGTATAGACAACACTAGCATGCAGAAGAATCACTTTTGACCTTTGCAGTGCAGAACAGAAAATAAAACCAACACATGACCTTCAAAGCTATTAATAAGTAAACCATTTTACTTGCTTTCCCTTGACTTACAACCTCCATAGAAGACATTCAGATAGTCATATGCATGCAAATATATTTGGAAAATAAATGACCCAAGAGATCGGTAGGTGTGAAAACAACACTGTGAGGCTCCACCTATCAAGCCTAAAGGTCGACTATGCATTCGCAGACCACTTTGTCAAAAACAACAAAAAGATTCCAGTTCTGAAAACTGTAGCAAAATACTTACAAAATGTTTGCGACAGCTATAGTTTTACTTAAAAGCAGTTTCTCTGGGCATGTGACCAAAAGTGCCAACAATTGTTCTGTAGTCATTCTGTTTGTGTCATTCTGAACAGATGAATTAACAGCCAGGCGTTCATTAAATCTAAATTTTTTAATTTGAATGAAAATTTAACCAAAAATATCTTTGTGTGAACAGGTCTTACAAGGATAGTCCACTCAAAAAATGAAAATTCTGTCATTATTTACTCACGTCATTACAAACATGCATGACTTACCTTCTTCTGTGAAACAAAATATTTTGAAGAATGCTGATAACCAAACGGTTTCATTTTCCACTGCCTACCACAGTATTTTTGTCCATACAATGTAAGTCAAGGGGAACTGTAAAAACTCTATTATTACTAACTTTCTTAAAAACATCTTCTTTTTTTGTTCCACAGAAGAAATAAAGTCATACAGGTTTGGAATGGTTCAAACCAAGTTCTCAAAATGATACAATGTGAGCACTTCTGAGGAAGAATTAACCACAGGATTTTTCATACTTTGTAGGGTCATGGCATTGCAACTTTAAAACACAACCCTAACCACTATAAAAAGCAGGGGTGGGACAATATATCGATATGGTGATATATCGTTGTCCTTTATGCGATACGAGAACTGATATCTGGCGCCAAATATCGATATTTTACTACAATATGGCACTCTATATAGATTTCCCTGCTCCCAGTATCTAAAAAAAATGCGTGGAAATCGCGGCCGCGGCTTTTACACCTTCTTTCCAAAGCGCTCTGAGCAACCATGAACTGCGTTCTCTATGAAGATGGGGAAGCACGAGGAACCGAAGGATAAACAGATTTCCAGCCACTGTATTAGCTCTACTGCTCTATATATGTTTATGGAGATAAAAGGAGATGGAGATAAAAAAAAAAAAAACTGCCCCGGAACAGCTATCAGCGTGGACTGTAGGCATTGATCACGTTATTATTGCAGAGCGCATATTGAGTCCGTGCAATATATCGATTATCGCAGAATCGCGATATTATCGTATCGTGAGCCATGTATCGTGATTCGTATCGTGAGGTACCCTGCGATTCCCACTCCTAATAAAAAGACAAGCTTAACCTACCATCTTGCATTGAAAAACGATCATTTTCAATCCATAGTGATAGGAATATGAAATTACCAGCATGGTTCTACAAAAAAAAAAAAAAAAAGCAGCATAAAAAAATATCTGCATGTTTTAAAGTGTGCTGATGTGTTGCAATTTATAGCACTGGAAGCCTATTAGACAGTGCTGGTGATCTGTAGCTCAACCACTCTTGAGTGGTTACTGCACCTAGACCATCCTGCAATGACTGAGAGATTTGACAGACCCCAAACGGAATCAATAGATTAATAAGGATTCCTCACAGCTAGTATTAGCCAAGTGACAAACAGTGATAAGAAACATTTCACACAACTGATGAGGACACTTTTCAAGTCGGTGATTTGAGAGCTGTATGCTATCCTTTCGGGGTCGTTAGATTGAACACTCAGGGGCCATGTTGTTATTGACCTTCACGGGCCTCCTGAAAACTAGTGGGAAAATCCAGGTCTAGACAAAATAGCCCCCTGGCATTTTGGATGGGCTCTCTAGGAGAGTTTGTGGCTTGTTAATTCCTAGCCTTGGCGGACCATCAGGACAGCAGAGGCGGTGCATATTGAGAATTCCTCAGGGGACAAAGATGGGACACAGCGGTTCTGTACATTGCTGGCACTGGTCCCAGTCCCTTCCCGCACCACCACCCATGTGATAAAAAAGTCCTGTCTACACCTTCATAATTCTCCTCCCACATCAATGCATCACACACATCTGAGAATGAGAATGAAACACTTGAGACTATCAGCCTACTTGCTAATTCAACACATAACTATAAAATACTTGCTGATAACATTTAATGCTGGTGTCTGTCACTATAGTGGATATGAACTAGTGCTTGACAAATACAGGTAGGTATTTCAATAGTCAATGCAAAGCAACAAAAAAATATCTAGAGAAGGGGTGGCTAAATATACACTATCATTTATGTTCAAAGTCAGTATTTTTATATTTATTTATTAATACTTTGCAAGAATGCATTAATTTGAACATGTGACAGTAAAATCATTTTAATGTTGCAAAAGATCATTTCAAATAAATGATGTTTTTGAACTTTCGATTCAACAAAAAAATTCTAGAGAAAAAAAAGTACCATGTTTCCACAAAAATATTAAGCAGCACAACTGCTTTCAACACTTATAAATATAATTTATGTTTCGTAAGCACAAATCAGCATATTAAAATGTATTCCTACTAGTTCTCTGAAAGATGATGTGACACTAAAGTCTGGATGGCTGCTGAAAATTCACCTCTGCCAAATAATACATTTCGTTTTAAAATATATTCAATACTATAAAAATATTTAAATGTACATTTTAAAATATTACAGTTTTACAGTATTTCTGATTACATAAATGCTGCCTTGGTGAGCATAAAAGAAATTAAACACAAAAACACTAAAAAACATGAACAACTCTTTTGAATGGTAGTGCATATAACAAGTAAAGTTCTTTTTACACATTTTTTTACACAACCACTAAAAATATTATAAAACAAAAAGTATTATTTAATTATTACATGAACAATTTTATATTGTGTAATAATTTTATATGAACAATTACATTAAGATATAAATGATCATTATTTATATTTAAATCCACTGATGACGAAAGGAGTCCCCCTGTGTGCTATATCCTACAATATATCCATCAGATTTCATCAGTCTGACAGGCCAGACTCACTGAAGGAACGTGGCGGTGAGGTAATATGATTCGAGAACGTGCTGGCATTAACACCTCTCGCTCTACTCTGAAAACAGATACGTCTCCTTGAAAGAAAGCTCATCTGATTCAGAGCCAAAACCCTCTATCATCTGTTATAGCATAATTTATTTGCGCAGTATCTCCACACCAGCAGCAAACAAACAAAACATCCATAAATAACCCATTACCATCATCATAATCTTCATCAACAGCCTTGAACCATTTTATGGAACAAACGATCTCGGACTTCAACATAAGCATAAAGAGCAGGGAAGGTTATCTCTGTGACGGAGCTGATACGGGTTACCTTCGGTCACCTCCGAAGCTGAATTATATCACAACATGCAGTGGAGACTTATCTTTAAACAACACAGAGCTGCCAGCTGACTCGCAGCTTGTGATCTGAGGAAATGATAAGATTGTCAATTGTGTTCCTAATAATGGAATGAAGAGATGGATCACAACCAGACCCTGCTGGGACTTTTTGGTGACTTGGTGACTATAAGACAAACAAAAACAAGCCAAAAATGTTAAAAGTGAAGCACTTACAATTAAAGTCTATGGGTCAACCATCACACTCTCGCAGATTTTCATATAAGATATGTCTGTCAACATTTTTATTTGTTTGCTTTTTAAATACTGTCGGGTTCCCACAAGATTTTCTAAGACTTCTCCAGTTGTTTATTATTGATAGCATTATTATATGACTTTTTCTATGCAAAGAGATACTTTAGGTTGAGCATAACTAAAAAACATTCTATTGAAATTTCAATGACTGTTATAGCTTTGATTAATTTCTGTGGCTTTTGCAGGCATAGGATTCCCAGGATTGTGGAAAGAAACCTGAAACTGAGGAAACATTATTTCTGTTGGCAATTACAGCACGATACTGTCCATAGCTTAGTTTGTATTTAATTAAGAATTTACATTTAAATACAATTATTCCACAATTTAAACGGTTTTTGGAAATTAAAGGACATTTTGGAGACCACGAGTTACATGTACTATAGTCACCGAGCGTGAACTAGTAACACAAGAAAAGATCAAGATTGGAGAACTTTATTTTCTTCTCCTTTACTAGCACATCAAACTGTCAGAGTCCTTTGAATATGCAAAAAGGAGGTTGATAAAATAAACCAGAACACTTAACACACAATTTTATAAGCACATAAACACTTTTAACATGCCTAGTAAACACAGTCCAGTGTGTCTAGAATCCAAGACCATTTTAATGAATGACATACGCTCTTCAATTGACTGATAATACAAAAATGATCAACTTTTAAACTGTAGATATCTGTCTGACTGGTGAAATACATTCTCCTCTAACGTTACTTCCCCAAGGCATTTCAGCCATAAAATAAAACGATAACGCCCTTTCCATGTCAGCTTTGATCCATAGTATCCCAGTAATCACTCCAGAGAGAATATGAAGAGTCAGTGATATCTGATTTCTGAACAATGCGACGTTTGTGTCCTAATGGCTGTAATGAAGGTAGATGAACAATGGCAGTCCGTGTATCAATCAAAGAAACTTCCATGCAGTTTCAACAGGTTGTTTGAGGAGCTTTAGATCAGCCATTTTCAGCCTGTATCTTCAAGTTCACATGAACTTAATCTAAAGCAGCAGGGTAACTGTCTCACGACCCAGTGAGCTGCCACTTTTTGAGCAATGAACGCGCCTATGATGCCTAAAAATGCTGCCTAGGTAGGCAGCTCATTGGGTTTTGAGGGACAGCCGTTGTATGAGCTTGGTTGGTATGCCCTAAAAACTCCAAAAATAGTGAAACATAGAACGTATAAATCCTATAAACAGTCTCTTCAATGTTTATAGAGTTTAATTTCAGAGAAATTAGAGTTTGCTTTAGTGTTTTGCTAAATATATTTGCATTGCTAACACTGCTAGCTGGCCACTTCCCGAAGTGCAGCGCTGCTTTCTTTCCCAGGCAACCTGTTGCAAACAACACTTACGCCGCGTTTAAACGGCCAAACAACTTGAAAGAGTCGCTTAGCTTACCTCTTCAGTTAGATACGCCGTCCCTTTAGTCCAGTTAGTGTATAAATACTCCCAAACAAGCGGTTTTATTCACAGAACAGCTCATGAGATTGTTGTCATGTTGAGAGACAGGTCGCCGCGGCTCCAGTCTCTGTACTGACTGACCGAGAGCGGCTCAACAGCGCCTCCGGCAACCGCATGAGACGACGCTTCTGATTGGACAGATCCACCATGATTAAACTCCACCGTCCAATTAGGTGTGCTTTTCCTTGCGAATGTCGAGCGGACGAGAAGTCGGTCAGTTTCGGCTTGGGTTTTTGAGGCTTGTTCGGTTTTTAAATTTTATCCACTTTCAGTATTGTAGAACCAAAACGTTAAACATTAATTCAGCCTAGCCTTACGGGTTAGCAAATTGTCCACGTTAAATAGTGTGTGTTCAGAGATTAATTTGACAAACTGCTTTCTCTGCGTCTTAAATTGTACAGAAGAATGCAGATATTTTTTTTATTTTATTTTTTAAAAGACGTCCAATTAAATACAAGAGAAAACTTTAATAACGCTTAAAGGAAACAGCTTATATTTCAAGACTATGGCATCTCTTATCAATACAAAAATAAATAAGTAAATATAAATAAATAAAAAGGTGTGAACGTCCAGAAGACCCCAATTTCGGTTCAGGAAACGGCCAAACAACTTGAAAGAGTCGCTTAGCTTACCTCTTCAGTTAGATACGCCGTCCCTTTAGTCCAGTTAGTGTATAAATACTCCCAAACAAGCGGTTTTATTCACAGAACAGCTCATGAGATTGTTGTCATGTTGAGAGACAGGTCGCCGCGGCTCCAGTCTCTGTACTGACTGACCGAGAGCGGCTCAACAGCGCCTCCGGCAACCGCATGAGACGACGCTTCTGATTGGACAGATCCACCATGATTAAACTCCACCGTCCAATTAGGTGTGGTTTTCCTTGCGAATGTCGAGCGGACGAGAAGTCGGTCAGTTTCGGCTTGGGTTTTTGAGGCTTGTTCGGTTTTTAAATTTTATCCACTTTCAGTATTGTAGAACCAAAACGTTAAAAATTAATTCAGCCTAGCCTTACGGGTTAGCAAATTGTCCACGTTAAATAGTGTGTGTTCAGAGATTAATTTGACAAACTGCTTTCTCTGCGTGTTAAATTGTACAGAAGAATGCAGATATTTTTATTTTATTTTATTTTTTTAAAAGACGTCCAATTAAATACAAGAGAACACTTTAATAACGCTTAAAGGAAACAGCTTATATTTCAAGACTATGGCATCTCTTATCAATACAAAAATAAATAAGTAAATATAAATAAATAAAAAGGTGTGAACGTCCAGAAGACCCCAATTTCGGTTCAGGAAGAAAGAAAGAAAGAAAGAAAGTTTGCTCTCTGAAGTGACAGCTCCAAACATGTATTTTCCAAAAAAATACTTTCTAAATATTATCAGGCACTGTTGAAGACCTGAGTGGTCAAATCATTGTTTGGAAAATGTTTTTGGAGCTGTAAATTCAATGTGCATACTTTTTTTCTTGCTTTTCTTTGTTTATTACTTAATATTTATTAAGTATTTTTGATTTAATACAATTGTGAATATTGTATATTATTAAATAATAAACATTGATCACATATGCATGGAAATAAACAGATTTGGAGAACTCAAGTCAATCAGCTTTCAGTGTTTATTTAAAAAATGAAACTGAATCACGTCTTTACATAAGGATCAAGAATTTTAATTCTCGCATTAGATCAGTATTACAGAAAAGGATATTATAGTACAGAGGTTTTCAATATCTTTTCAGTACCATAGTATATTCCTCAGGAGTGCTGGTCACTTGTCTGTACAATATCACTCTTGCATTTTTTTTTGACTGTACATTTGATGGAATTCATTTAAAAAGGCAGTCAGCACTTAAATAAGCTGTCTTCATCTTCAAAGTTAAACAAATAAAAGTTTCCAGGGAGCTCAGCCTCTAGGATTGGGCCGGGCGAGTTTAAATGTAAGGGTAGTGTGTAAAATAGAGAGTAATAAGGGCAGAGCTATGAGGGCCAGTTTACTATGAAGTATGTCCCAGACTGATGTATAGCCTGTAGCACAGGACATGCCTCGGGGCGCGCTAAAGTAGCACAGAATTTACACAGACCCCCACCGACCGGTCATCGTTTCCACACAAAGTCTGTGCCACCCGGCGGCGCGACCACAAGACCTTCCCCCACAGCCCTGGCTTTTGGCACTGCGCACATAAACACGACTCACAAGATAAACGACAAGCAAAGTGGTTTTGTAAACCCTTTATGAAGCATAATGAAGTCTTTATGGAGCATATAATACTAAAGGGAAAGATAGCTGGGTCACCTTGGTGCACTTTGAGAAGAGATGAAAAGATCCAGCTCCTGTCATTTTGAAGAGCTTTTCATTCCTCAGTGACATTTTCTACCGATGAGAAAAGAAGCTTTCTGATGTATGTGTGACAGGCGCCAACAGCTGTCTATTAAAATACTACGGCTATCTATAAGTTCTAGCATTGAACACACAAAGCAATTGCAATGAAAGAGAACAGAGTTGCTTAATATGATAATATTCATCATTATATGAATAATCATAATAATTATAACAATATATTACAGAATAAATCTCTTATATTTCATATATATATATATATTCTCACTTTAAAAGGTATAATGTTTTCTGTCTTTGAAATACTATGATGTCTTTCGAATACAGTATTTTCAGAAATTTCACATATTCGTCTTTGTTCGAAATGTTGATTATACTGGATCAACTTCTCCCAAATCAATAAAACCTAGCTGTGCCGTTGCATATTCCAGAATAGTAATGATATGTGGACATGCACCACTTTCTTGCTCTGTACTTGGTCTGTCCCCTTAAGATGACATCATAGCCGTCCTATGACCATGACGTCCACGACTTCACCCTTGTGCAACTCCACGTATTGCTCTGTTTTCGGAGGCAACATCAGAAGGCCGTTGGCACTGCGCATGCTCATTAGCCGACTACTCATTTGGTTTCCTGTCAAGCAGAACATGGTGTTACTTGCTTTTTTGCATTCAAATAAGTTCGTTATTTGTAAGCTATATATGTATAGGCTGTATGCCGTATATACACATATACATAACTAATTATGTATACCTGTGCTCTGTGCCCAGGGAAGTGGTTCCTGGTGGTGCCATGTCAGTATACAGCGATGATATTCTGGACGTGGATCCAACTTTACATCACAGGACAGCTGCCAAGAAAAGGACACATATGGATGACATCGCAGCAGAAACCCAATGTAAGTCACAAGAAAGCAGTGGTGGATGAAGTACACAACTCAAGTACTGGAGTAAAAGTACAGATACCATAATAATACATTACTCCAGTAAAAGTATATTCCTTTTCAATTTTACTTACGTCAAAGTGCAAAAGTATTAGTTTTTTAATGCACTTAAGTATTTAAAAAAGTACTGATTGATAAATGTTTATTTTGCAATTTGATATACTCCACTCTATATGATGTATTGCAGACTATTGATTCGTAAGTAGGAAAAAGTTCTTTACATTTCATTTACAAAACTTGTCACAGCATCAAACATTAAATATATCAATACATCAATTTAGGATACCGAATTCAAATGGGCAAACAAGTGAAAATAAAATGCAACAACAGTGTTTAAAAAAATGTGTGTTGACAAATAGTATAAACATACAATATAAAAACAGACATAACAGGGCAAAATGTGTTATTTTGAGAAGAATGCTATGCAAACATACTAGTTTTATATCATTTGAAACTGCTACGGCAGCGGGGAAGATGCATGGGCTTTATTTTATGGTATTTCAATATCACGTTTAGTTTCTACCTAAAACCTACATGGTTCAGATGGTGAAATATGACATATTCAAATGCAAGCATTGCATATACAGTGGGTACGGAAAGTATTCAGACCCCCTTAAATTTTTCACTCTTTGTTATATTGCAGCCATTTGCTAAAATCATTTAAGTTAATTTTTTTTCTTCATTAATGTACACACAGCACCCCATGTTGACAGAAAAACACAGAATTGTTGACATTTTTGCAGATTTATTAAAAAAGAAAAACTGAAATATCACATGGTCCTAAGTATTCAGACCCTTTGCTGTGACACTCATATATTTAACTCAGGTGCTGTCCATTTCTTCTGATCATCCTTGAGATGGTTCTACACCTTCATTTGAGTCCAGCTGTGTTTGATTATACTGATTGGACTTGATTAGGAAAGCCACACACCTGGCTATATAAGACCTTACAGCTCACAGTGCATGGCAGAGCAAATGAGAATCATGAGGTCAAAAGGAACTGCCTGAAGAGCTCAGAAACAGAATTGTGGCAAGGC